GGTTCTGTCTGGCGAGCTTTTCGATCTCAAGGTTAAGCGGGATTAGCGGTTCTCCCCTCTTAGAACGTGTATGCATAAACAGAGCTGACCTGCAAGGTTAGCTGACAAAATTCCTACGAAAAACAAAAAAAATGAGTCGCTGATATTAATTAACCCAAAAATCCGACACCGTCCCCGGCATCGGCGCCAAAAACTGATGTGAGTTTTCTCGCACTTAAAAAGATTGTAATATAGCAGTGAAAGTACGAGTATCGTCTCCACAGGGACGGTAAAAGGGAATTAAGAATTAACTAAAAATCAGCGATAAAGAATAAATAAAATAAATGCGGTCGTGCGAGATTTGGTTGCTTGAGAAAACTAAAATTGCAAATAAACGATTAAAAGTAAATGATTGGGTTCTTCTTAATTAACAACGAAGGGAACAGGGATTGATTCTGGGGTAATCAGATTTCTGGCAGACCAGGCTTAATTACATGAATTTAATTTAATTGAGCCTAGCTAATCAATACTAAGTTCTTACCGCTCTCGCGGCGTAGAGTACAATAATTTAGGGGACCAGGCTGATCTCTCATTCGACAGGATCCTAAATTATTGCCAAGACGAACGAGCTTACGGCCCCTTAATCGCTACTAATCTCTTAGCGAACGATTAAGTGTGTGTGAATGTGTCCTAGAACAAATTAGATCTCTCTTAATTTATTCTATAAGCAATTGTAATTCTAGTGGCCATTCTAGGTTACAAAAGATATCAATTAAATTATGCAAACACAAATTAAATGGCATTCATGCAATTTACACCATCAAGAACCTAACCATACATCATGATTAACCCCTTCATCAACCCCAAATCCCTAATTAAAATTACTCACAACTCATAATTGAAGAATCAATAGAATTGCGAAGAATAGAATTAATTGTCATTAATTAAAAAGATGGAACTTACAAATAATCCAAGGGAATTGAAGAACAAGATGGAAAAGTAGAATAAATTTCGTCCCTAGGGCTCTCTATAAGTTCCCCCTTTAATTAGGGTTAGAGAGGTGTTATTTATAGGAAACAAAACAATTCGGGTTGAATTAGGAAACAAGGAAATTCGCACTTAAATTAGGAAACAAAAACGGGGCACGCACGGCTTGGGTAAAACGTCCGAATTTGACTTTACTTCCTTCTTGAAAGTTGTAGATAATGAAGTCCTCTATCCACCCCAATTTTCCGAATTGGATTTGAATCATCCAATCAACAGATATGAATAAAATGGTGGAATGTCTCATTCTGAAATCGCAACAGGGATCATCTGACTTCGTCGTCTGTTTTCACATTCTTCCTATCCGATTCTCGGAAAGGTGTCTTCTCATGATTTGTAGCCCTTGAAGTTGGATTTCATATGGAACTTGCAACGTGTACATTGGATGTCTCTACAAGGAGATATGCTTGAATGATTAACAGAAGGTCATCCTGATCATCATTTTCAAGCTCTATTTGTCTTCTTTTGATCCCGTAGCCAATCCTAGAGCTCTTTTATCTTTAACTCTTCATCGTAAACCTCCCGGTGAACTCCAAAGCTCTCAAATCAATCTCTAATGTTTCTCAACTCGTCCCGATTGCTTCTCAAGCGCCGGTGTTGGTGTCTAAAATCCTGATTTTGACTCCAAATGACACAAAACTCGAACCAACGCCCGGTAAACATAACTTGAGTTAAAATTGAGACTTGCAACACCTTAAAGCTAGGAAAACTATCAAAATGCAACCCCAACACGCATCAAATGCGTGTTGTAATATGTACTTATCACTCACTCTCACCACATGAATCAATGAAAATATGGATATTTGATCCTGGAAAGATTTTAAAAGTGAAGGGTCAGAAAATCAAGCATTCCTATGGAAGTCCTAGGAATGAAAATGTGGCAAAGATAAACTATCATGATCCCAGTTTGAACGACTGAACACAATGATGGCGTCGTGCCGCGACGTTAACTAAGGCGCTTCTTGGGAGGCAACCCAAGCAAGGTACGTTTACTTGTTTTAGTTTATTTTTACACATTTCAAGAAAAAAAAATGGACTGGGATTGGACCCGACCGGGTATAAACCCTAACCCGGTCGGGTTACTTCTAAAAACAAAACACTCGGGCAATCACCCGGGCGAGGAATAAGCAAAACAAGAATAAATTTTTCGCCCGACCGGGTAGACTTCCATACCCGGCCGGGCAAGCCAGCAAAAACCTTCTGCCTCGGGTGAACAGTTTACGCCCGACCGGGTACACTAACCCACCCGGCCGGGTATCTCGATTTTTGGAAACCAGGCCATTTCTCTAAAAAAAATGAATCACCCCCCCCCCCCCCCCTTTGTCTTCCCTCTCGAACCACACCCCAAATTTCCTCCATTTCCAAAAGTCAAAAGCTTCATATCTCCTACATCCATCCACCAATTAAACCCATTTCATTCATCACCTCTTCACCCTTTTCATCTCCACACCCACGAATCACCAACAAAACCTCCCAAAAAGTATCAAAAAAAAAACACATTCATCATAGACAAGCACTAGGGACAGTGCTTTGATTAGCTTGGGGGGAGAGTTTTATGGAATACTCACATTCATACTCTTTATTCTTGTAAAAAAAAATTATAAAAGCTTGTTAAGTTGAAAACCTGAAAGGGCAACTTAAGCAAAAATAAAGCAAAAATAAGAGTGAGTTGTGAGGATTAAAACAGAAAAATGTGGGAAGCTGGGATGAAAACCCGAAAGGGCACCTAGGCAAAATGAGAGAACGAGAGAAAGTATTTTCTTTTATTTCTGCAGGATCCTAAGGGTAACGAAAAAAAAAGGGTTGAGGTTGATAAAGAAATATGGAGTTGAAGACCCTCTTTACTATTATATTTTTGGGGATTTACTTTATGTGTTTCTAAAAACACTCGTGGATGTGTGTGTTGATATTCTTGTCATTTTAAGGACTTCTTGGATCGGATTTGATTTACTCGAGACGAGTAAAGGTTTAAGTGTGGGGGTGTTTGATGCACACTAATTAGTAGTGCATAATTACATGTTTTTATGTTTGATTTATGTTAATTGTTTGACGTTTTATTTAGTTTGTAAACATTTATGTGATTTCAGTTGTAATTGTATTTTAGTCTTTTTTTGTAAGTTGTAAAGTTTAGTTAGGATTTGTGGTGTTGGAAAGGAAGACTTTGAAGTGAAGAAAAAGAAGATTTGGCTGCCCAGGAGCAAATACCCGACCGGGTATAAACCCTGACCCGGTCGGGTAAGAAGTGAAAAACGAAAATGCAAAGAAAGTGCATGGCCCGGTCGGGCCCACTACCTCACCCGGTCGGGTGAGAAGTGACCGGGGACAACCCGGTGTGCAAAGATCACCCGAACGTGTAGAAAATCCAATTTTTGCACTCACCCGGTCGGGTCCCTTACTTGACCCGGTCGGGTCTGACTTGACCCGGACACTTTAACATGCCAAAGATCACCAGAACGTGGGGAAATATCTGATTTTGACCGGACCCGGTCGGGTGAGTACTTGACCCGGTCGGGTACCCGGCCAAAGGTGTTGAAAAACACCTATAAATAGCACACTTTTTCTTCACAAAAAAATAATCCCTTCTTCCATACTCCTAAGCTCAGTTTAGAATAGCATTTCTTTATATTTTTCTAGCTATGTTTAGTCTCCAAATGAGGAGCTAAACTTCCATTCTTGGTGTTGCTCTTGAAGCTTGTTGATTATTAAAGTTGTGAGTTATTTTCTTAACTTCTTTCCTTGAATATTAATTAATAGTTCTTTCCTTAATATCATCTCTATATTAATGTTGGGGAGTGTTGCTAAGATGACAATTAGTTAACATCTCGACATTAGTTAGAATGATATTTTCTTCCTCTATATTAATGTTGGGGAGTGTTGCTAAGACGACAATTAGTTAACATCTTGATATTAATTATAGTAGGATTCATCTTCTTTAATAATATTCTTCCTTGAATATTAATTGATTCCTACTCATATTTCATATTAATATTTTGAACATTACTTAAAGGATCAACTAGTTTTGTTTCATATATTAATTATTACTAGAAACGATCAACGAACCGATGGTTAATCGTTGATGGTTTCACAAGTAAGTAACTTCGGTTTATTAATGCACGGTCGTGGTTAATAAACTTAAGAGGGATTAATTTTGTTGGTTAAACCGAAACCGTTGTGTTGAGGTTATCAATCTCAATTGATTTCATCAAGGAGTTAGAAAGATTAAATGCTACTATTAAATCGGTATAAGGTGTTGTTCTATATTTGATTAATAGTAAGGGTTATTAATGAACGGTCGTTGTTAATAACTACCCTCGATGAAGTGGATATACTCCCTGATTGAGTATTCGAGAGGGAATAAGTTATAGATATAACAATGATCGACTAAAATATATCAACAAGTGGAAAGTAGCAATGCCAAGTCCTTTTTATCTTTGAATTAAACACATATAGGTTGTTCATCTTAGTTCTTAATTAAATTAAATCACTCAATCCAAATCCCCCCTTTTATTTACTAAGTATCATAAAAAGATAATTATTCTTTTCCCTGTGGATACGAACTCTACTACGCTATATTACGTATTAGTGTTAGTATTGAAAATTATTTTGACGCACCGTGACAAAGTGCACGTCATGGTGAGACAAAGCGTAGAACTAAATACAAGGCCATGTTCACAGGACGTATATATGACATTACCAGATCTTAAACATGACAATAATTTCTTGTATTTAGAAAATAAAAACAGTACTCCTATTTTAAAATTCCAAAAAGTTTTCACTTTTGTTTAAGAATTTTCACTTTTTCAACACTAGCAATTGTTACTGCGCAGTACAGAGTGTTACTTTTCAACACTTATGATGAATTAATTTTAACCATCAAATAAGTACGGAGCATTAGAAGTGAAAAAGTGAGTTTGTAGGTTCTACCTTGGAACATACGGAGTATTTAAGATCTAACGATTGATGTTGATATTTAATGAGTAAAAATTTGGATCATTTAATTCATTTTTTGGTAAAAAATGAAGTCCGCCAAACAGAAATCCGGTAAGACGGACTGAAGACAGAAGACAGTTGGGGAATTAAAAATGTATATATCTCCTTGTCATTCAAGGGTTTATTTTGATTTGAGTGAGTTCTTGCAGCGCAGCTAAGCTAGCAGGTGAATGAAATTAAAGGTTTTGGCTGCCCTGGTAGGTTTGGCCAAACTGCCACGCTTTTGGTGCGACGTTGTGAGCAGCCAAGACTCTGCCGTCGCTGGTTGTGACCCTGAAGGTGAGGGCTTTGCCGGCCAGCTTCTCGTCCGTTTCCCACTTCTCGCCCCAGTTGCGCTTCAACGGCATCCACCGCCGGGTCCCTTCGGCCTGGACATCAACCCTTGCAATGTCTCCCGCTCCTCCCACATTTGTCACCGTCACCAGGTTAAAGAAATTGTTCCCTTCAATTGTGAATCTCGCTCCCCCTTTTCTCTTGCATGGAACCCTACATCCACCACAAACCTACTCACTCAAATTTCATCACTACAAAGGGAATTAAAGTGATTAATTAATATTAGACAGATTTCCCAAAATAGGAGTAAATGAAGTTTGAAATTCCAAAATATGACTACTTTGTTTTTATTCCCGAAATAAGAATAACATGGCAGTATTTGGTGTCATCTTGTAGCCGTAACTGCCAAATAATTGCAGTACAGTGTATTTAACATGACAATATTTATTATAATTAATGACAGTATTTTTTATAATCATGACATTATTTTCATAACTCCTATTTCGGGAAAAAAAACATGCTAGTCCTATTTTTGGAATTCCAAATGTCATTTGCTCCTATTTTGGGTATTTTCCCTCAATATTATTGTGAAAAAAGTTATCAAATTAAATTATACTCCGTATAAAATTGTGGAAACAAACCAGAAAAGTGTGGACGATTTGTTTTTGGGAGATTTCCCGGATTAAGAGTTCGTTTCGTAACACTGAAATTGGCTGATTCTGCTAATTTATGAAAATATTTTATTTAGAATATATTTTGTTATGAAAATAAAGAAAAAAATATGTGAAAAATAACTAAAATGGTCATATTCGGTAACTTAAACCAATATAGCCAGAAAAGTAACGTCAACCTTATTTTTCTTATTTTTACACAATCCAGCATGTGAAACAAAAAGTTACGTGCTTGATTAAAAAGTTAGCTTTTAATTAGAAAAACAGCGTCGACTACCAAACGGGCTCTAAATAATAAGGATTAGCAAAATTGCAACACAGAGTCACCAAACAGGCTCTAATTTCAATCCTACTTAGGGCTAATACCCATTTGTTTTTCTATTGTTATCTCTTATGCGTACACATTATTATTCTGCAAATGATGTGTTTTAGAGAATTTTGTGGTGTACGTACGTACCTGCGGTACTGGACGGGAACTACACCAGCTTTGTAGTCGGCAAGTTGGAGAAAGGCGGGCTGAGACAAGTCAAAATGTGGGTTGGGAGGATTGCACCAGGCTTTGCTGTCGGCGAAATTGGGAGGGCAGAAATCGGTGGCCGTCACAACGACGGAGTGGCCGCCGGGCTTGCAAAACTTGCTGTGCACGCATCTGATTTCATAGCAGGCTCCGCATCTTCCTGCCTTGTTGTACAGGACCATACTTAAAGCTGTTGTGAATGCACCATACGCTTGCTTGTGCTGTTCATACCCACAAGCTCCACCTGTAAATCAAATATATATATACACACTTTTTATTTATTTATTTATTTATTAAATTAATTATTTCTATAAATGGCCTAACAATATTGTCCATCGAAGCTAATTCAATTTCGGGAAAATCATAAATTTGGGAATCTTCTATTATTTCAAATCTATTACTCAAATCACCATATGAAAAAGTGGAGTATCATATACTCGTAATTAATTATGTTTACTTAAAAACGTTCGATCTGGTCGATCATTTTATTAATGTCTAGTTTCTGACATATCAATATATCATAGCAGATCGTTTTTCAAAGAAAAACCTAAGAATTAGTTATATATTTTACACTTTCACTAATTTAAGATATATTCCTATATTTCCAAAATTTATACGAGTGTTTGAAAAGCTTAGCAATTTTATTACTTTTTTTGGGAAAAGGAGCAAATAAGCCCTCGAACTAACCGAAAAAGTGCAAATCACCCCTTTTATTGGAGATTCTGTCCGACCGTCGCCATTTTGGTGGTTCCCGGTGGAATTTTTTGATTAATTTTTTTGAGCATCTTCTTCATTAAGTGTAGTTTACCCCTACCAAATTTCAGCTAAAAATGCATTCGGGAAGGCAGTCAAATAAATGTTTGAAGATAACTCCGCAGTGAAACAGTGCAATATATATTTTAGAAAATCATTTGACTGCCTTCCTTGTTGAATTTTTAGCTGAAATTTAGTATGGGTAAACTAGACTTAATGAAGAAAAATCATTTGACTACCTTCCTGGTTGAATATTTTTGATGTAAAAAAAAATCATCAAAAAATTCCACCGGGAACAGTCCCAAATGGCTACTGCCGGACAGAGATTCCTATAAAAGCGGTGATTTACACTTGTTTGGTTAGTTCGAGGGCTTATTTGCACATTCTCCCTACTTTTTTTGAATAATGGCTTGCTAGAGCAGGTTATGTTGCCTTTATTGATTATATTTTTTAAAAATTGCTCAATATAGGACTAAACATACACAAAGTTTAACAATAGGATTAATCATTTTTTATTCTCCAGACTTATTTAGTCCTATTAAAAAATATAAGTTGATTAAAACTTCATGAACTAAGAGTTAATGAATCCTATTTTAAGAATAAAAATGATAGTATATATACACAATATTATTTATGAAAATTATCCTTGTTTTTGTCATATTTAGTGAATCTTCTTATTATCAAAATAAACTTGCTTTTATGATATTTTTCTTATAGAGATTGAATTGACAAATTTGAAATAGCTAAAAAGTTTATTTGAACCTTTTCCCTTTAATTTTTTATTCCTATTGAAATATATTATCTCGACCTACTACTGTTTAGGGGCTCAATACATTATCCCAGTACGGAGCCCTGTCAGTGAGGCCTGTTTCAGCCATCCGACCCATTTCAGCCTAACCGGCCCGTTTAAGTCTGTTTGGCCCATTGGAGTAGCTATTGTACCCCTTCCCGTTTCCTCTATAAATAGGAGGATTTCCCTCCTATTGAGGGATCCCCTTTTGGCTTCTCTTATTCTCTTCCCCCCCTTCTCTCTAAAAGCTTAAGAACTCCATTAATGGGAGCTTGTACAATGTAATAATGGTGAGGAGAGTATTAATAAAATGAGAGGACTTGAACATTAGCCTAAAAAATCTCGTGATTTTCTTTCTCTCAGGTTTCCAAATAAAAACAGAGAGTTCATATATATTTATATCTATATTTACTATTTCATGTTGGATTAAACTCAACAATTCCATTTGTCCAATGTCGCCTACTCTTGTTAATTTTAAAGTCACTTAGACTATTTGTAGTGGTAAGGTATTAGGAGTCTAAAATGCTAAAAATGGAAATTTTAGACTCCTAAATACTTACTCCCTTCGTCACCCTAACAATGGGACAAGACAGAGTGACACGCAAATCAATAAAAAATGATTTATTTGCTTGATATTGAATTGATAAAGAATAAAGTAAGAATGATTTAGAGCCACACAAATTTTACCAAATTTGATATGGGACAATCTTAATGGAACAGACCAAAAAGGTAAAATGAGACAATATTAGCGGGAATATTACATTCGAGACCCATTTGGGAGTAAAAAGGGAAAATGGGATAGAGGATGTAAAAGCTTTGTTGACAGCCCAAAAAGAATGAAAAAAAAGGGAAAAGCGGATGAAAGAAAAAGTGGACGAAAGAAAAGGGTATGGGGAAAGAAGAATGGTACTACAACATAAAAAATAATATTTTCTTTTTAAAAAGTCTTATAGCTTATTTATTCGTGCTCCAATTTTTACAAAACATATATCCAAATTTCTAATTGATCTTTCATATGACACCAATATCACATATATAAAATTAAATAATAAAATGATGTTCAAACTGCTAGAGTTTTTTAGGCCGAAAAAAATACAGATACATAAATTTTTAATCCATGGTGTCTCCACAAATAGCCAAACTGTAGTTGAACCCAATTTTAAACCCAATTTACATTTTAATAGCATAAAAAGTATAAAATAAATTAAAGATTTTTTTATTTTTTAACATCGAAACGTGCATTTTTGCACACATAATGGAGAAGAGAATTCAATGTGATATGAATATACTCATCGACTTGAAGGGAATCTAATGTGTTATGGATAGACACAGAAGTTGAGAAGAGAATTCAATGGTGCAATGGGTTTAAACCCAGATCGATCATCAAAATATGAAAGAAAAAATTAATGAAATTTATTTATTTTTACAACGAAATATGAAAAAATATGCTGAGTGTATTTTATTGACGGTGCTGGAATGCAAAGAAATAGAATTCAAAACATTGTTTTCATATGAACAAAGTCCATTTTTAACTTTTTAGCCTCTTCACCACTCCAAATGGTCTTAGAAATCATACTCTGTTGTACTAAAATAAAAAAATATGGTACGTACATCGTACTTGTTTGTTTATAAAAATTTTGATTTCATATTTGGGTCATAAATACTCCGTATGTTGAATTGATAATTACAAAATCATTAACATCACATTTTGAGATTTCATTTTCACACAAATGTAATACTTCATCTGTTCTCTAATAGTTCCAATATAGTTCAAATATGTTGATTTTTACACTATTCACATCTCATTTTGACCATAATTTTTTACTAATATACATATAATAAAATTATTATGCAAAAAATATTTATGAATTTTATTAATGTGAATTTCTAAGATATTAACTTTTTATAATGTTTACTACTACATAACTAAATATAATTACGGTCAAAGTTGTGTGTTGATAAATGTGAAAGTCAAACGGTTAGAATTAAAAAAGAACGCATGTAGTACTTGACTGTGATTTACGGTTATAATTACGCATGTACTCCTAGATAATGTCCCATTTTAGAAAGAAATACGTAGTATGTGATTTACAACATTTCAATTATTAAACTCAAATTTCAACCATATTTCTAATTTTTCAATCATTTTATTAATAATTCTCTAAAAAAACATATAATAGGATGAAGAATCTATAATAGTTTAATTTATACCAATGGTTCCCTGAGGGGCACCATAGAAGGTGGCGCGAGCATCCTTCCATCCGCCTGGTGGCGTCGCAAATGCCGCAGATGGCAACACAACTAATACTACCGCCACCAATAACATTATTATCGAATCTGCCGCCGCTGTCATGGCTGCGACGAGGACTACGATAGTTTAAAGCTAAGGAATCTGTTTAATCAGCTCAAACTATCGTTTATTTGTAGCTCCTTATATTGTTATTTCCATTTCAAATTCAAAATTTCATTCTTTCATTTATATATGTATATTAATCCATACATTTTAGTGGTCGTTGGGTATTGCTTATGCATGCATGGTTTGAATCCATTAAAGAGAATTGATGGGTGAAATGTAATCTATCCACAAGCGCATAGTTGTTTGATGGAAAATGATTTCATTTTTGTGATCTTAACAATTTTTTATGCGGATATTGTTACAGGCCCCTCTTTTACACTTGAATAAAGGAATTTTCAGAAGGAAATTCTAATAATAAGTTTTTTTTAGTGTTTATTTTAAAAATATTACTAAAATAAAACTTAAACAAATATGATTAATAATTACTACTATGTATTATCATAGTAACTTAGGTTTACAAATTGAATACGGAGTATGATAGTACAAGTTTTGATTCCATCATTACTTTAGTCACTAGTTTGATAAACAATCTTTATTTTAGTCGTAAATATGTAATTATTTCATTTTTTATCCGACACAAACACTTCAGCTAGAACTTCATAAATATGAGATTCTCAGCTCCATATTGACTTTTCATTGGCACCCAACTATGTGGTGGAGAGTTGTGCAGAAGAAAAAGAAACATAAGAATGTGTAAGAAGTGATGTCAACCACAAATTCTTTACCGCAAAGGGAAATGAGAGGATAATTTTGGAACGAATGAAAAAGAAAAGTATGAATATAATTCTGGAACGGATGGAGTAACATTCAAACCTTAATTTCAAAAGATTTTAGAATCGACTGACATAAATCGATACATAATATTTGAAGAAATAATAACACAAAAAAACATTTTGATGAAATAGATAGTTACACTCATATGAAATTAAATTTTGAGGTTATATTATAAACCGTAAAGTTCACATGTTTTCGTAGACAAAATTAGATTTTGACAATTAAGACAATGTTATTTTGTAAGAAATGATGTCAATCACAAATTTTTTACCGCAAAGGGAAATGAGAGCATAAATTTGGAACGAACGAAAAAGAAAAGTATGAATATAATTCTGGAACGGATGGAGTAACATTCAAACCTTAATTTCAAAAGATTTTAGAATCGACTGACATAAATCGATACATTTTATTTGAATAAATAATAACATAGAAAAACATTTTGATGAAATAGATAGTTACACTCATATGAAATTAAATTTTGAGGTTATATTATAAACAGTAAAGTTCACATGTTTTCGTAGACAAAATTAGATTTTGACAATTAAGAGTTTAAGCAACGTTATTTTGTTCATTTCTCAAATTTGGACCTGATACTGGTGGGCGTAACTCAACTGGTAGACAGAAGGTGTCACAAGGGATAAGTCTCGGGTTCGAATCCCGACAACTGTGATGAGAGATTACTATGTTAAAATGCATAGAGGTTCTGCAAATACCGAGGCAGAGCTCCACTTTTTATCTAACATCTTGTGATTAAAAACTACGGAGTAATTTACATTCCCACGTCTAATTGAAGGATGTTGAGAGACCTCTGTGTCATCCTTTTTTAATTCCGAGTGAATAGATCACATTCTGATATTCGCATCATGAATTTTGGAAGGATGGGAGTTTGCCACGACGCCATTCAAGACTGGTCTAAGTGTTGTGTCATAAATTTTACATTTGATTCGTCATTTAGGCAATTATTATTACTAATTTTTCAAATATGCAGTCGCAAATATCCAACAACATTTGGACTTTTATTTAGGCAGACAAGGATTAGATAAAAAATCAATGACATAGAATTAGTGGGTCCAATTTTTGGCACAAATCTTGAGAGCTGAATTTTAATCTCACCCTTCTATTTTTTTGGCACAAATCTTGCGCTAGTGTCCCGGTTGTCTGCTGAGCAAAGAGGAAGACGACTGCAGAACTGGTTCACAGCTTTGCCATTTGCACCGACCACCTGATTCCATTTTTGGGTATACTTCAAAGAAAAAAGAAAGAGGATAAAACAATCACATAAAAAACCCAAACATAGTCTTTGAGTTATTCATCCATTCGCATTTTCTCCGTCACTCTTCGCTCTCCAGTTAGACTCTGTGCTCTTCATTGACTTTTCTCTGACTTTCTCCGGCAATAACTTTAAGGTACCCTCTTTAGGCCTTCTTCTGGTGATGACGCACGAATATTATTCGCAATAAAGCTCATATCTTTGTACGAATTTAGCAGGTCCCCCGTTTATATGTTGAAGTGGAAGAATTTGGGTGTATGATTACTACTTTCTGATCCTTTCCCAGGTCTGCACAATTATTTTTTGTAAAAATTTCCACTTTGGTCTGTGGGTGTGAGAGGCAGAACGTTGAAGTCAACATCTGGGAAAAGGTAGTCGGCCAATTGAACATTGTTGATTGAAAACTGCAATGTGAACAATGGAAGATTCTCATAAGTTACCTACTACTCAACAAACCCACCCGTCTCTTATTGCCAAGAAAATGTCTCTTCTGCTTTTCCTAAGTTTGCAGCCTTAGCCTACGCACAGATACAGACATCTGCGAGTGTGTTCTTAAAGGTATACGGAGTATTAATAGACCAGGTCATATACAAAAAATATACTCTGTCGGATGCTATGTGAATCTTCCATTAGCTATTCACCAAAATATATTGATTGTGAGTTGTGTGAACCTGGATAGACAAAACATAGTTAAAAGAGTTGCGTAAAAAACATTGTTTCTTACGAAAAATCTATACCTTTACATCTTTAATCACTATAATCTTGTTGTAGGGTGGTAACAAAAGGTTTGTAATGAAATTATTCTAATGGATTTCTCAAAGTGTAGAAATGTCACTAGGAAATGATATTTTATAATTTTCTATGATCCCGCACATTAAAATGATGATCGTCTGTATTTGTGTGCAAGTGTGTTTCCAATGCAGCTCTATAAACTCCAATTGAGTGTAAGCTTCCTTTGGATTTGGAGCAGGATTGCAATGTATGATTCATTTATTGATGTTTGCTTACTACTATTAACTACTGATAGAGTTATTGCTTGTCTTTCTGCTCTTTAGGTCAACGGGAAGAAATAAAGGGTCTTTGCTATTTTATGAAGAAACCTATCCTTTGCTGATGTGAACATGTCAATCACTTTCTAAAAACAGAAAAATATTTGAAACCTTTTGGCATTATGCATGTCTGGTCCTAGGGTGATTTCTGATGGGGTTGGAATAGGAATTTCATTGTCAGAGAGGGTCCTATCTGTCAATCCTTTATTGCTTAATGACAATTATTATGACTTGGCAACAACAAACGGAGAAGTTTCCTCTTCTGATTCCAGGGGCTTTAGAGTCAGAAAGGTCATACTGCCAAACGGAGAATCTTATTCCGGCTCCCTGCTTGGAAACATACCTGAAGGCTCAGGCTTGTATATTTGGTCTGATGGCTGTAGCTACGAAGGTGAGTGGAGACATGGGATGAGGCATGGTTATGGGACCCTCAAATGGCTCTCTGGTTCTGTTTATGAGGGTGAATTCTCTGGTGGCTATATGCATGGGACTGGGACATATATTTCACCTAACAAAATGACCTACAAAGGTCGCTGGAAACTGAACCGTAAACATGGCTTAGGTTCCCAAATATACCCGAATGGTGATATGTTTGAAGGATCCTGGATACAAGGGACACCAGAGGGACCCGGTAAGTATGCATGGGCTAATGGAAATGTCTATTTTGGGAATATGAAAGGAGGAAAGATGTGTGGGCGAGGAACTCTCACTTGGCTCAATGGAGATACATATGAAGGGAATTGGTTAAATGGCATGATGCATGGTTTTGGTGTATATTCATGGCGAGATGGTAGTGGATGCTATATAGGGACATGGACTCGTGGTCTAAAAGATGGTAAGGGCACATTTTACCCTAGGGGCAGCAAGCTTCCTGCCAGGCAGGAATTGTACCTTAATGCACTTCGAAAAAGAGGGTTGCTCCCAGATTTAATGGTGTCTCACTTGGGAAATGATAAAGTGAGTGAGGATTTCAATGGTTCATCTGTTAAGCTCCTCGGTAAAGGAAACCTTTTAAACCTGGAGATGTCTCGTCGCACCAATGGTGTTGTTTTGGAAAGACGTTGGAGTCTTGATGTGTCGATTGAGAATGTCATTGGGCGAGATTTATTAGAGTCTGAAATCACTACAAATGATTATTTCAATACTCCGATACTTGAAAGAGAATACATGCAAGGTGTCTTGATTAGTGAAGTTGTTCGTAATGATCATTTCTCTTCATCATCTAGGAGAACAAAATGGCGGCAAAGAAAACACTTCAGGGAGATAAAGATGCCTGGCGAGACAATTATCAAAGGTCACAGAAGTTACGATTTAATGCTGAGTTTGCAGCTCGGCATCAGGTTATGATGAGAAACTCACTTCCATTTTCATAAAAGCGTGTATTAGCATTCACAAGAAAACGCGTATTAGCTTTGTGTTGGGAAATAATGGTTAATATATGATTAAAAGTAAAAATATTGGAAAAATCTGATTTTTAATAAAGAATGACCACAGTAGTAGTATTTTGCAGTGACAATGATGCTTATCAAGTTTACACTGCTGTGAACATGAGTTCAACTTTTAGCATTATTATGGGAAAAACCATTTGTTTTTAAAAAGTAGATACTGAAATGCTTATTAAATAAAAATGACCAGATATACTGTGGGGAAAATCACCCCCATACAAAGGAGAGAAGTACGGGCTTCAGATTTTGGACCGCGTGCAAGCTTTTGGATGCACTTCCCTAAAGAAGGATCACAGCTCACACCTCCACACCAGTCTGAAGATTTTATGTGGAAAGATTATTGTCCTATGGTATTCAGGTTGGTCATTTTCCACTTATGTTGTGAATATTCATCAAGTTCTCCAATTAATGCACACCTTTTAGTAGTCTTACATTGTAAAGAAAATCTAGCACATAGTATTCAATAGGTCTTTTTTGAACATTTATAGGAACCTAAGGGAGATGTTTAAGATAGATGCTGCTGACTACATGATGTCCATTTGTGGAAATGATGGACTTAGAGAGCTTTCTTCCCCTGGAAAAAGCGGCAGTGTGTTTTTCCTCTCCCAAGATGATCGTTTCATGATCAAGACATTGCGAAAATCAGAAGTTAAGGTTGTCTTCTTGACTTGCTCACTGCTCCATGCTCCTTTTGTTTCCCTTATTCTTTTTCTTAGGTTCAACATTATTTTGTTTTGAATAAAAGAGTTCAGATATTTCAGAAGTGGATGATTGATCTCATTTCTCTTTCTCTTTCTCTTTCTCTTTCTCTTTCTCTTTCTCTTTTGTCTTATTATCTTTTGTATCTGTCTTATGTTCTTATGTTATGTTTATCTTTTATCTTTCTTATGTTGTTTTATCTTATATTTATCTTTATCTTGTCCTTTTTATCTTACCTTATCTTTTTATTTCTTATTTTTCTTTTCTTTTTGGCTCCGATATCATGGATTGATTCATGTTAGCCGACCCCAAAATATTTTGGGAATCAGGTTTGGATGTTGTTGTTTTATAAAAAAGTTTTGTGGCTATGTATATGTATTGAATTTTAATTCTTACTAATTGAATCATTCTTAGTATAACGTGTTAGTAGAAGAAGACACATGCGCTTAGATCTATCACATCCCTGACTATACCCATTTGTATGTGCCAAATAATACTCCATGGAGTTTATGTTTAAATAGGTTCCTCTTAGAATCTATGACGCACAGACTCTCTTCACAATTCACGGTTCCCCGTTTCGGAAACTCGGAAGCCTTTGGGAAATTTGGAAAGTTCATATTCGCGTTTTGGGGCCGTTCCCTTAATGAAGAAGAATTGAGAAACTTGTTTCCCTAAATAATTAGCTTTTTGTGATAGATACCGCAACAACGCAGTAGAAAATAGAGTATTATTGATGAAGATTTCAGAGGTTGAACTGGATTACAATGGCGTAGACAGAAAAATAGAGAAGAACGGATACTGTTGAGACAGTTCAAGTCGCCTCCCACTCCTAAGCCTAATTCCAAATCTAATTTTCTGCCTACTCCCTTCCTCCCTCCTTCCCCCACTCTTATAGTAATTATATTCTAACGTGCCAGCCCATCTTTTCTGAAATGGCCTGGAATCCTTATTTATACAATATCACACTTGATATCATTTTATGACTATTATTATTAATAATATTCCCTTTAGCCTAGGATCCTATCATTCTGATAAGACTTCCGCAATTCCAGGATTAATTCACAGAAGAATTAAGAACAAAGAAAAGAAACTGAATCTTATTCAATGTAGGTAAACCGTATACAATTGTCCCAAAGAAGGAGATAGAACTCCAACTTCCCAGTCCAGACAAAATGTCTAAAAATAGCCTGCATTCCCACAACAGCTTTATTCTATTTATATCCTTCTACAAACAGAAGGTAGTTATTAGTTACTAACAACATCCGACTAATAACTTGCTAGTCTATTTAGGTCTTCTAGAATAAACTTGTCCACAAAATCTATTCGGATTATTTAGACTAGCCCGATCCTTATCAATACCCCCTTCCTGCAAAACCAACTTGTCCTCAAGTTGAAAGTCAGGGAACTGATCATGGATCATTTGAATATCCTCCCAAGAGTCTTCAAAATCAGGAAGGCCCTGCCAATGCACTAGGACCTCCTTCTTCCCTTCCTGATTTAGCCTGCTGTCTCTTACAGCTTCAGATCTCACTTACAACTCACATTCTTCTATGAGGCAATTTGAGAGGCTTTGATAAGCCACAGTAGGTTTCAGCACTTTCTTCAGCAAGGATATGTGGAATACAGGATGTATTCTGCTTCCTTCTGGCAACTTCAATCTGAAAACTACCTGACTTAGTTTCTCTGAAATTTCATAAGGGCCATAAAATCTTGGACTCAGCTTTTGATTGATTCTCCTGGCCAAACTTCTCATCTTGTAGGGTTGTATCTTTAGAAAAACTTTGTCCCCTACTTCCAGTTTCGCTTCCCTTCTATGTTTATCAGCTTGTTGCTTCATAAGATTTTGTGCTTTGGCCAGGTTCTCCTTCAATTCAGTCAACATCCCATTTCTCTCAGCTGTCAATTTAGCTACTTCATCAACTGAAGTTACACTGACATCACCTCGGATGATTGCAGGAGGTGGCTGTCCAAACAAAGCCTGATAAGGAGTACTTTTCAAGGAACTGTGATAGTTAGTGTTGAACCAATATTCAGCCCAAGGAAGCCATTTAACCCATTGCCTCGGTTTCCTTCCACTCAAACACCTCAATTAGGTTTCTAGGCATCGATTTACTACTTCAGTTTGCCCATCACTCTGTGGATGATAGGCAGTACTATATTTGAGCTTTGTTCCAGCCAATCTGAACAACTCTGACCAAAATGAACTCAAGAAAAGACTGTCTATCGCTGACTATGGATTTTGGAAATCCATGTATCTTGACCACCTCCTGAATAAAGATTTCAGCCACTCCTTTGGCATTATAGGGATGTGCCAAAGGTATGAAATGTGAGAACTTTGTCAGTCTGTCAACCACTACCAGAATAGTGTCTTTTCCTTGGGATTTTGGTAGACCTCCAATGAAATCCATACTAATGTCAGACCACACCTGATCTGGAATTGGTAGAGGTTGAAGCAACCCTGCAGGTTTCAATGCCTGGTACTTGTTCCTCTGACATGTTTCACACCCTCGAATGTAGTCCTTGATATCTGATCTCATACCTATCCAAAAAAACAGATTTGAGATCCTCTTCATAGTTCTGAAATATCCAGAATGACCCCCACTGCAGAGTCATGGTATTCTTTCAGAATAGTCTGTATTCTATGGGACCCTTTTGGTAATACAAACCTTCCTTTATAGTATAGAAGCCCTCCCTTCATTTTGTAGTCCATGCATAGGTCAGGTTGTATCACCATCTTCTGAATCACTTCCCCCCATTTAGAATCCTTCTCGAGCTCATCTCCCAAACAATCCCATTTTTTGCAAGTTACTGTGGATAGGGCTGTATAAGTAGATTTTATGGATAGGGCATCTGCAACTTTGTTTTCAATCCTTGGTTTATATCTGATAGTAAAATTGTATCCCATGAGTTTAGCTATCCATTTTTGTTGATCTTCCCCCATTACCTTCTGCTCAGTCAAATGCTTCAAACTTTTTTGGTCAGTATGAACCTCAAAGTTTCTCCCCAAAAGGTAAACACAATTGCCATGAGTTCCTTCTCATAGATAGATTTAGTCAAATGTCTAGGAGATAACTCTTTACTCATGTATGCAATAGGACCACCATCCTGCATTAGTACAGCCCCCAGACCCTTCCCAGATGCATCTGTCTCTATCACAAAGAGGTAATGAAATCATGGCCTCCTTCAGATCATTGAAAGCTTTAGTAGCCAGTTCACCCCATTTAAAACCATCCTTTTTGAGTAAAAGAGTGAGAGGAGCAGCAATCTTACTATACCCCTTTACAAACCTTCTGTAATACCCAGTTAGCCCTAGGAATCCCCTCAGTTCCCTTAAGTCCCTGGGTATAGACCAATTCTTCATAGCTACAATTTTCTCAGGATCAGCTGCTACACCTTCTGCAGAAATTATGTGACCAAGATAACTCAGTTGATCCTGTCCAAATGAACATTTCTTGAGATTTGCCACCAACTGATTCTCTTGTAAAGCTCCCAGTACTTTTCTTAAGTGCTCTTTATGATCATCCCTAGTTTTACTGTAAACTAAGATATCATCAAAGAACACTAAAGCAAGTTTCCTAAAAAAAGGTCTCAACACCTCATTCATCAGACTGAAAAGTTGATGGTGCATAGTTAGCCCAAAAGGCATAAGTAGGTACTCATAGTGCCCTTCATGAGTCTTAAATGTTGTCTTATGAGTATCACTGGACTTCATCCTGATCTGGTGATAACCTGCTTTAAGATCTAACTTTGAAAATATTCTGGCCCCACTATCAATAAGTATAGTTACTTCCATCTCTCTCCCTTGCCACTTTAATTTCCCTTTCACCTTGAAAGTTGTCATGGATGAAATGCCTTCCTTGCTTAAAATGGACAACTGCATGTGATTCATGTCCATCTGATTGGAAATATGGGACTAACTTCCTTCTGATTCTTCATAATCCGCATCAGAGGCTTCCTCTCCTTCAGAATTCTCTACCAGAATCATCTTGTAATTTTTCATTTTACAAACATGTCCTCTTCCCCAATTCTCACCACATTTAAAACATAAACCCTTTTTACTTCTCTCCAGCAATTCTTCCTGAGACAGTCTAGGTCCCTGCCTCTTCACCATCAGATCCTTCACATCAGGGTTATTCTTATTATCAACTATCATCTTTGCTGAATTACCAGAGTTGTTTTTAATTCCTAGAGGACTTCTCGACCTGTTGGTTTCACTCTAATTCTGCCCTGGTGATTGATTGATAACCTTGTTCTGACCCTTCTTCTTACTTTCCTCCCTATTCTTCACGAATACTGCTTCAAATTCAGCTGTGTCCATAACTTCAGCCAAAGTCCTGGTAGGATACAACTTCAATTCAGCTCTTATATCCCTCTTTAGACCCTTGAGGAAAACTCCTTTTAACACTTCTTCACTCAAGTGTTCCTGAGATGAAATAGCTGTTTCAAATTGGTTTCTATACTCAGTGATAGAACCTTTTTGCTTCAAACTGAATAGAGGTCCTAATGGATCCTGTACCACCTCCGGTTGGAATCTCTTGATCAAAGCCTTCGTAAATGAATCCCAATTTAAATGTAAGGCTTGTCTCTCCCACCATTGGAACCAGCTAAGAGCTTGGTCTTCCAATGCGATAACAGCGACGTCCAATTTCTCTTCCTCCGCAGTTCTATTCAGTCGGAAATATCTGTTCATTCTCATCAACCATCCGCCCACATCCTTTCCACTGAAAACAGGCAAATCAATCTTTCTCCCCATACTATTGTTGTTTCTGTGATTCCGACGCAACTCAGGTTCATGTCGCGAAGCTGAGGGGTTCGAATTAGTATCCGAATCACCAGAAGTGTCGTCATTCCTCGAATGCTTGTGGTGAGTTGTTCGTTGAGCATGGTTCGACCTTGGCGAAGGATTCCTTGATCGATGAGCGATCTGAACCTGTATTTCCGCTAAGCTAGCTTGTATAGCTGCTTGCATCGCCGCCATATTCGCAGCCATATTCTCCATACCGACTTGCAGATCCCGTTGACTTCGTTCCACCTCATTTACTCTGCCTTCCATTGTTGCGCGTGTGACTCTCATCCAGCGATCGACACGCTCTGATACCAATGATAAGACTTCCGCAATTCCAGGATTAATTCACAGAAGAATTAAGAACAAAGAAAAGAAACTGAATCTTATTCAATGTAGGTAAACTGTATACAATTGTCCCAAAGAAGGAGATAGAACTCCAACTTCCCAGTCCAGACAAAATGTCTAAAAACAGCCTGCATTCCCACAGCAACTTTATTCTATTTATATCCTTTTAAAACAGAAGGTAGTTATTAGTTACTAACAACCTCCAACTAATAACTTGCTAGTCTATTTAGGTCTTCTAGAATAAACTTGTCCACAAAGTCTATTCGGATTATTTAGACTAGCCCGATCCTTATCACATTCTGAAACTTCGGGTTTCCAGTTTTTACTTTTAGTTTTGATGGGATTCAACCATGGAAAATAGTGCCTACACAAATCTCTTTATTGATTTTTATGAGATTTTTTCCTAGCACCATAGTGATATTTCAGAACACAATACATTGCTCGAAGGGGATTGAATTTTATGTTTAATTGTGTACTAACATGCAATAATTTCTAAATTTGAACATGTAGAATGTATTTATTTTTGGTTATCAAAAAAAGTTATTTGAAAAATGTGCATATATATAAATGAAAAGACATGTGTATATATATGGCTTTGGAGAGAGCACAGTGGAGGGCGCACATCCGTGTGGACGATTGATGTCTTGTCTACCTTTCCCAAAAATGTATATACCTTTCCTCTCTTTTTTATTTTATCGTTTATCTTCCTTATCTTTTTATATTCTTATGTTATTTTTATCTTCTAGCTTTTTTATGCTCTTTTATTTTTTCATCTTTTATCTTTGTTATATTCTTGTGTTATTGTTATCTTATATTTATTTATCTTTATTTTATTCATTTTATCTTATTTTTTTTTTCCTTCTCTTGTCCATCTTCTCTTTTTGGCATCGATATCATAGATCGATTCATGTTAGCCGACCCCAAATTCTTTTGGGATTAAGGCTTGGATGTTGTTGTTGTATCCTTATTTTTGTTAATATTTACCTGTTTCCCCCACATTTCGTATCCTATATGCTTTAGAAATCCCATTTCTCGTGTTTCGCGTATCCGTGCTACTTAGCTTAGAAGCGATATATTTCAGTCGAGGTTGCTCTACATTCTATTAACATGCTATGCCACCTATAGGTTTTGCTCCGCATGCTGCCGAAGTATCATCTACATGTGAGGAGTCATGAGAACACACTTATTACCAAATTTTTCGGACTTCACAGGGTAAAGCCTTTAAGTGGACAAAAGGTATCATTGCTATAATGTTGTTGCTTTCATATTTAATTGGGGTACCTTTGATGTTTGGTGTATTGTGTTCTAGAAAGTATTATATAGTTTTCCTCCACATGCTGGCTCTAAGATTGAAGATTATATAGTTTAAACTTTATTATTCCAGAAAGTTGGATGACAATTGTCAGCTTGGTTTATGCCTGGCTATTTATTGTTAGAACTTGGTGTCAACTTAGAAAGATACTCTATCATCCCTAAAAGGTTGTCCATTTAACTACTCAGTGGGCAATGTAATTTGCTTTTATTCTTTGGCTTTGTGTATCAAATTTTTATAATGTACAATTCAACTGTTTTTCTCTTCATTAGAAATTTTACTGTTATTTCTAAATACACATGTTTTAATTATTAAATAATTTAAATATCATCAGAGGAGGTTAACTTTAACTTGCACTCAAAGCACACAAACCTTAACCGGCGGCAAACAAGTTTGAGAAGGAGCTAGTACAAAGCTGGTGTGATAATTGTTTCTTGTTTCTAAGATACAGTCATACAGATGCTACATATCACTCTATCTCCTCATTCGCCGTTGCTAATGATTAATGAGTGTAAAAGAAATTATTATAGATTGGATTTTTGTTTTGTCACTACTAACTGTTGTGAAAGTCCATGTCTAGGCCCGTTTAATCACTGCCTATGTACATGCTTTTACAGATTCATGTAAAAGAAAAGGGTACTCAATATGGTAATGCAATGTTGTTTGTCATTTACAGTTCCGCTTTGTAGTGATGGGCAATATGTTCTGCACAGAACTGAGAATCCATCGACGATTTGATTTAAAGGGTTCCTCGCTAGGGCGTTCAGCAGATAAGGTTGAAATAGACGAAAGCACTGTACTAAAAGATCTAGATTTGAATTACTGCTTTTATCTGGAACCTACATGGCAAGAAGACCTGCTGAAGTAAGTGTCTCTTAATATCTTCTACTGTAGATTCAATAACTCATTCATTTCCAATGCCAATTATTGTTTGCTTATGATGTTATTGGAAGCCATTTTCCACTTCTCTGTTATTATAATGAAGAGTATAATTGTGCAGGCAAATTGAAATCGATAGCAAATTTTTGGAAGAACAGCACATTATGGATTACAGTCTCCTGTTGGGTGTTCACTACCGAGCTCCTCAACACCTGCAATCTTTCATATCACATAGTCAACGGTTAACTGCAGATGGATTGGAAATTGTTGCAGAAGAAGGTAGGTTGAGTTGTACTAGATTAGGCCTACTCACTCTAAAACAATCCTGAGGAGGTGCGTGCATAATCTCATACCTACATATTTATACAAATTTTTTATGTGAAACATTTAAAGTGCCCCTCGGCCAAACTTAACTTACTCAATAGAGTGACAGACATATGAGTCAACCCAACCCCAAACAGACTAGCTTAAATTGTTGAGCTTTAAATAAATAAATGACAAGCAGACCTCAATCACCCCAAAATTGTCCTAGATTTACCTCAAATATATTCGACAGAAATCTGGTACATATTTGATGTGGGACACTTAACAAGGTTAGTGTATGGAACTTGTTTCATTAAGCTAATTAACTTTGAAGATAAAGCATAATCTTTTCAACCAACACAAGTCTTCGTACTTCGTTGAACTGCAACCTATGTAATATGGGCTATTCAGCGAAATGCGATTTATGGTTTCTTGTGTTTACCACAACATTGGCAGAATCTATGGAGGATGAAATAGGTCCCCAAGGGCTCGTGTTAATTCCAAGACGTGCAGATGATGGTGTTGTTGTTGTGGGCTCGCATGTCAGAGGTAACCGACTAAAGACTTCATCTGCTTCGGGTGACGAGGAAGTAGATCTTCTTCTTCCAGGAACAGCTAGGTATCCCTACCATAAGCTATTTTGGGTGTGGAAACAGTTCTGAATGAGGCTAATATCGTGGTTTTTTTAAAGCAGATTGCAGATCCAGCTGGGGGTGAATATGCCTGCAAGAGCAGAGTATGTCCCCAGGAAAGATGAGAAGCAGATCTTTCCTGAAGTGTATGATGTTGTACTTTACCTGGGTATTATTGACATCTTGCAAGAGTACAACATGACTAAGAAGATAGAGCACACGTTCAAATCGTTACAATATGATTCTGTGTCCATATCTGCGGTGGACCCCACATTCTACTCCCAGCGCTTTTTGAAATTCATCCGGAAGGTGTTTCCTGCGAATGCATTAACGAGTTAGAAGACTACACTCTGTTCCCAAGAAAGATTCATGTTTCTAATATTGTTTTAGTATTGAAAATATTTAACTAGTATTTTTTTTCTGAAAAAAAGTAGTATATAGTCTGGATTTGTAATTTTGTCTTGTTGTTTAGATAGTATCCGCACCTCAAATATTGTACGAAAAAAGAGGTAGAGGAGGCGAACTTGGTCGATGCATTTGATTATTTGATGTAGCATCTGTATAAATAAATACATAAACAATTTTCTCATCTTGATTGAGGTTTATTATAGATTTATAGTATTGCTCAATGCTGATCTGCCTCTACTGTTTCTTAAATGATGTTTGTATTATCGCATTGTTTGTTATGCACGAGTCCAACATATACGTTTAGATCGATCACATTCTCATTTACACAATCTCAGAGATAAAATGTATTCTAATCAGGTGAAAGCCTATATACAATTTGTGAAGTATCCTTCATGTGGTTAAGCTAAATACGGAGTAGTAAATACTGATGATGACATTAAAACATAACAGTTGGATCTTCCAAATGTGTTTTTTTTCGTCGAGATTTTTTTAGACTAAAATGTCTTTAATTAGACTTCTTTTCAAAATAATGGCATGGCTTCACCTTAATTAACTCGGAAGCCATCAGCTGGTTGCACCTGGAAAAAGGAATAAGATCTGGAAGTCCATTCTCCAAATTTTGAGAAGGAAAATAACAGAAAAAACGCTTAGCTCAAGAGTGAAGACAACGCTATTCTCTATTCTTTCCTTCCCTCTATATACGTACATGTGTGTATATGCTATTATATATATCTATATATTTAAAAATGTGAAGGGAAGGAAAGCTCTCTCACAAGTAGTAATGGGATCGCAGGCCGCCGGACAGTGCAGCAACAGAAAGAGCGACTACCACCGGTCCCTTAAGATACTGTTGATCGGAGATTCTGGCGTGGGGAAGAGTAGCCTTATCGCCAGTTTCATTTCAGATGCGGCCTCTCAAGCTTCTTCTCCCACCATTGGTACATACGCTCAAAATCTTCTCTCTTCCTTGACCGATTCCGATTATGAATGGTGATTTCAGTGGAGATGACTATGTACAGGTGTTGATTTCAAGATCAAGATTTTCGAAGTTGGCGGGAAAAAACTAAAGCTCGTATTTTGGGACACAGGTAATTACCGTTTATACATCCACGTACCTAAAAACATCGAATTTGGAGTCTCACAAAGTTTAAAAAATACGTATACCAATTAGTCTGACAATGTTTTAAAAAATTGTTTCTACATGTTTGAAAAATTTAAGATTGTGGTATCATTATTATTTAAGGGCAGTAGAGTTAATTAATAGGGAGTATAAATTTATTTACCAAATAGAGAAAAGGAACTTATTTTTGGGACATTCATAAAGTAAAAGAAGATAGTTTACTCATAAAAAATTTATATTTATTTAGTAGGTTTGGATGTTGTTGTTTGTTGCATTAGTACTCTGGTTGTGACTATTACCATGTGATCCTGCTATATTATCTACATAGTATAATACTTCCTCTGTCCCGAATTGAATTGCAAACTTTGACCGGCACAAGGATTAGGGAATGCCAATATATGATACTTACTTTTTACACTTTTGTCCATCTTTCTAAAAGTAGATGCCTTTAAATTAATGGAGAAAAAGTAAAAGTAAGGGTAAATTTGTCACTTAGTTCTTATTTACATACCTAAAAAAGAAAGTGGAAAACCATTTTGGGACAACCAAAATAGCAAATTTTGCAAATCAAATTTTGACGGAGGGAGTATTAATTTATCACTTCATATGTTCTACCGATTAATAAATAGTTGACTATTTAATAATTCGTTAACACGCGCTCACTTATTTCATAGGAAAACTATTTAGTTACATACATGGTCGCTAATTAGGGTTATTATTACACAAATATAGAGTGCAGTTCCAATGACAATGATGTTAACATAAGAACATGAGAAAACACAATTTTAACCCAATTTAATGCACTATGAGGCCAGTTCTGTTGCACTTTTTTTACTTTAGGAAAAACATACCAAATTCAAATAAACGTGGTAGTTATTTCGTAAATATTCCGTCAATGTGAATTAAAAGTGCAAGGTGCAAACTTTATAGTGCACCATATGGGCTTAAAAGTGTTGTTTGCATGGTTCTCATGGTAATTATATATTATCTCCGTTCCATTGGACACTGTCAACTTTGAATTAGGTAAGAAGTACGAAAAGTGAAGATTTAGTGGTTGAACTTTGTGCTGAGGAGAGAAAAATGACCAAAACTGCAAATTAGTTACCTTAATGAGAAAGTGACAACGTTTTTAGGACAATCAAAAAGAAAAGTTGGCAAAACTTAATGAACGTCACTTGTCTAATTTGCGTTAGTGGAATACAATAACTGAATCAACTTGTTCATGCATGTTCAACTCAACATGGTATTGCCATTTTCTCTGCCAGGGAATTAAAAAAAGTTGTCTCTTTTGCAGCTGGACAAGAAAGGTTCAGGACATTAACAACCAGTTTCTACAGAGGTGCCCAGGGAATTGTTCTTGGTAGGTATCAGGTGATTAATCACTTAGGATTTGTTTGAATGGAGGGGATTGTAGATGAAATCTTACTACAGGAGACATATTAATCTATTACCTTTACAAAACTAAAAAGTGGATAAAATATGATTGAAATGCTTTACAATCACGTATTAAGCTCTTTGCCTCCACAACCCTCAACAAAAGTGATCACTCATTATATTGTAGCACTATAACCTCTTTCTTATACTAGATATCTCTATACAGTTTATGATGTCACTAGGAAAGAGAGTTTCGAAAGTCTTACTGGTGTTTGGGAAAAAGAGATAGAGCGTTACTCAAGTGATCAGAAGAACTATGTGAAAATGTTGGTGGGTAACAAAATTGACCAAGTAAGTAACTAGTCCCATTTTATGTTATGTTTGAAGGTCTCTTGTCAGATCTTTAAGGGTATGTTTGGGATTTTGGAGGGAAGGGAAGGGGAAAACTTTGGAGGTATGTTGTTGGAGGGGAAAGGGAGGGAAGGGTGAGGAAGTCCTTTGTATTTGGGAGTAATAAAATTGGAAAGAGACGGTTTTTGAAGGAATTATATTTAAAATCACTTTGAGAAATGATGAAGTCAAATCATTGAACTAATATTCATTTTTAATTTAGCTTAAATTATCATCTTCTTAATTATCTTCCAAAACCCTCCAAATTAAAAGCATTTGAAGGGTTTTGAAGGGTTACAAAAGCCGTCCAAAACCATTCCTCTAATTTTTAAACTTCCAAACATGAAAAGGATGGTCATAACCCCCCATTAATCTTCCCTCCCTTCCAAAACCCAACTCACAAACACACCCTAAAGTGTTATTAGGGATGGGGGGCCTTTAGGTGGGGACGTGGGGTAACGAGGGGCACGGGGTAGTTGTGCTCTCCTTTAAATGTGCCCTAGGCATATTATATGTGGAAGACCTAACAAACAGTATCTAAATTATGTGATCTCTGGGAATATTTCTTTTTGCCCACGCCAACTCTTTTTTTTTTTGAAAGAGGGACGAGGCCCGGGGAAGCCCAAACCAACTCTTATGCATGTGTTTATTGGAAACCTGATTATGTGACACGATCATGTAATTTCAGGAGTCCAAAAGGGAAGTGAGTAGTGAAGAAGGGCTAGCTCTGGCAAACAGACTTGGGGGCCTATTTCTTGAATGCAGCGCCAAGACTCGAGAAAATGTTGATATTTGCTTTGAAAATCTCGCCTTACAGGTAGCACTTAGGAGATGTTAACCATTTTGTTTTGAATTGTTAGTCTAATCCAGATCAATAGGTTTAGGTTTGGCTTCTTTACATTAGATATGGTCTTAGAACTCAAATAAATCCAACAGCTCGCGTACATACCACAAAGAGTAACTTTTCTGAAATCAGTTTGTCTTAAAAATTGTCTCTGCTGATGAATCTGTTCGTTTTCCAGGTTTTGGAAAAAGTGCCTAATCCTCATGGACATGGATCTGCCATGGGAAAGATCGTTAGCTTTAAGCAGGAAGAACACCAGACTCAACCTGACAGAGGATGCTGTGGATAGAATTATGTGTCTCCTAAACTGTGTTTTCATTGATATGTGATCAAACTATCAAAGTAAATGAGTAATTTGGTTTCATAAGAATCTGCTTTTCTTCAGCTAAATTTAAGAACTTTGCCCGATAATAGTAGGTTACACACTCCTTTCTGATGTATAAAAAAAGTTGGGTACACTAAAAATAAAAAATAAAATGAAACAATAAAATGTTTTTGAAGTAAATGAGGGGCAACACCATCTAGCTCCAGTCTGTTGTTCTGTATAAGAGTAAAGGCAAGCTGAGGGTACACATTAAGTTTTTCATACTTGCAAATCACTAGACAAAACGTTCCGAGTACACAAAGTGAATAACAATAAGAATCATATGGTCAAAGATGATTTCTAAAAACATGTTCATGATATAATCCAAAAACTTAGCAGCCACGCATTGCTATCACAGCCTCTTCCAAAACTCTCTTAGCTTCAGTGTCACATTCAGCAAGGTCACCAGGGGTCTGTAAACACTTCACAGTCAAAATTTTGCAGATCTAAGCAACAAAATCCAGTTGGCATTTCCATTATGATCTAACCTTCCCATACATATTCGTCTTGGTAGGGGAAGCCCCAGAAGCAAGCAACAACCTAATAACATCTACATGCTCGCCTCTAGCAGCATGATGTAGAGGCTACAAAGAAAAGCCATGATGCGTAAAGGCACAAGTGTTGAGCTCAAGCAAGAAGTAGTAGAAATACATGAAAATGAGGCTTTGAAGACTTGACTTGGGAACATCTTAGGCTATTTGCATAACATGTGACTTAATAATGCTTTGCGTTTACAGTTATCATCAAGGACTTACTGTGTCACCTTCCACATCAGCTGTCTCCAACATCCTCTTTACACATGCAGGATCACTAGTACTATTGATAAGAAGCTGTACGATTTGAGTGAATCCTGCACATAGCTATACCGTATAACATCTATATAACATCCTTGGGATCAAACTAACTTAATACTCCCTCCGTCTCAAATTGTTTTGCAAAGTTAACATTTTTTGGTCAACCAATAATAAAAGTCAATCATCTCTATCGATAATTAATTCAATTTTTAATAATTAAAATTTACATATTCAGAAACTACATTAAAATCTCTTCAAAGTTGCAAACTTCAAATTTTAAAATAATTAAAAATTGACATCCTAATTAAGCGAA